TCCTCCTCCGCTTCCCCCTCCACTTCCCCCCTCCATACCCCCTTTACACCCCTCCATTCCCTCCCCATTCCCCCTCCACTTCCTCCTCCACTCCTCCTCCCTTCCTCCTCCACCCCTCCCCCACTTCCTCCCCCAAACCTCCCCCATACCTCCTCCATACGTCCCCACTACCCCCCACTACCTCCTCCACACTCCCCCTTCCTCCTCCACTCCCTTTTCCTCCACTTCCTCCTTATACCTCCCCCACTTCCTCCTCCATACCCCCCACTACCTCCCCATACCTCCTCCACTACCTCCTCCACTACCTCCTCCACACCTCCTCCCTTCCTCCTCCACACCCCCCCCCTACCTCCCCCCCTTCCCCCCACTACCCCCCTCCAGTATCTCCTCCATAACCCCCCTCCCACCCCTCCCCATTTCCCCCTCCACTACCTCCTCCCTTCCTCCTCCCCTACCCCCTCCACTCCCTCCTCCCTACCCCCCACTACCTCCTCCACTACCTCCTCCAAGACCCACAAAACCAACATTCTTTTTGATTCCTTTCCCCCCTCAACAAAAACTTGCTCTCCGCTGTTGGCTGAAAAGAGCGCCGTTTCCATTTACCGGGGACACGAGTCCCCAATGGTGCCATTTCCCCCACCTTTTACTTTCCTCCTTTTCAAATTTACCGCCTGGCGAAACACTGTGATGTTTTCCCGACCCCAACGACATGTTTGCCCCGAGCTCTGATGACTCTGTGTGGTAATTTATAATATTTTTAAAAAAAGAGAGAAGAGAGAGAGAAGAGAGAGAGAAAGAGAAGGGGAGAGAGAGAGAGAGAGGAGAGAGAGAAAAAGGGAGAGGAGAGGAAGGAAAAGGGAGGAGAGAATGCTTGAAGGAAGATGAAGAGGTGGGAGGGAGAAATGCTTGAGAGAAGGAGGAGGTGGGTGGGGGGGGAAGATAAAGGAGGAGGGGGGGGGGGAAGGAAAGAAGAAAGATGAGGGGGAGGAAAAAAAAAGGCAGAATCTCCCTTTCCCCCTCCTCCTCCCCCCTTTTTCCCCCCCTTTCCTCTCCCTCTCTCCCTCCATATTCCTTCTTCCTGGATAAATGTGTCTTGGTGTTCGATGATGGAGAAGAGAGATGGGGGCGCAGACCATCCACTTCTCCTCCTCTTTCCCTCGTCTTCTCTTTCTTCTCTTCTTGCTTCTGAGTCTCCTCTCCCTTTTTTCCCCTTACCCCTCCATCTTGTTCACAGAGTGACTTTTAGCAACAGCAATCTTGACAGCAACCCGCAATCTTGACAGCAACAGCAATCTTGACAGCAACAGCAATCTTGACAGCACAGCAACTTGACAGCAACAGCAATCTTGACAGCACCCGCAACCTGACAGAACAGCAATCTTGACAGCAACCCGCATATCTTGACAGAACAGCAATCTTGACAGCAACAGCAATCTTTACAGCACAGCAATCTTGACAGAAACAGCAATCTTGACAGCAACAGAAATTTTGGGACAGAAACAGCAATTTGACAGCACAGAAACCTTTTGAAGAAACAATCTTAACAGCCCCAGAAACTTGCGAACAGCAACTTGAGCAACAGCAATCTTGACAGCCAGCAACTTGACAGCAACAGCAACTTGACGAAACAGCAATTTTGACAGCAACGGCAACCTGACAGAAAACATCTTAAACAGCAGACCTTGACAGAACCAACCTTGACAGCAACGCAATCTTGACGAAACAGAACCTTGACAGCAACAGAAAAACCTTGACAGCAACGCAATCTTAAAGCAACCAATTTGAAGAACAGCAATCTTGAAAAAAGCAAACAGCAAATTTGGACAGAACACAGCAAATCCGGACAGCAACAGCTTCCCTTGCGCAACGCAATCTTGAAGCAAAAACAATCTTGAGGAACAGCAAATTTGAAGAAACCGCAATTTTGCGAACACAATTTGACAGAAAAACGAAACCTTGGAGAAAAACAGAAAACTTGGAAGCAAAAGAAAAGTTTGGACAGAATAAGCAAAACCTTGACAGCAACAAAACCTTGACAGCAAAGCAACTTGACAGCACCCAAGCAATCCCTTGACAGCAACAAAAGCCAAAAAACCCTTGCGCAACAGCAATCTTGCAGTAACAGCAACCTTGCCAGAAAACAACAACTTGCGAAAGCAACCTTGACAGCAAAGAATTTTGACAAAACTTCAATCTTGCAGCAACAGTAACCTTGCGCAAAAAACAATTTGAAGCAACAGCAACCTTGCGCAACAGAAATCTTGACAGCCAGCAATCTTGACAGAACAGAAACCTTGCAAAAACAACAATCTTGAAGAACAGCAATCTTGACGCAACAGCAACCTTGACGCAACACAATTTTGACAGCAAGCAACCTTGCAGCAACGCAATCTTGCAGAAACGCAACCTTGAAGAAACAACAATTTTGACAGCAACGCAACCTTGCAGAAACGAAATCTTGACAGCAACGCAATCTTCGCAACGAAACCTTGACAGCAAAAACAATCTTGACGAAAACAGAACCTTGACAGCAACAGCATCTTGACAGCAACAGCAATCTTGACAGCAACAGCAATCTTGACAGCAACAGCAACCGTGACAGCAACAGCAACCTTGACAGCAACAGCAACCTTGACAGCAACAGCAATATTGACAGCAACAGCAACCTTGACAGCAGCATCAACGTCGACAGTAACAGCAACCTTGACAGTAACTTCAACCTTGACAGTAACAGCAACCTTGACAGCAACAGTAATCTTAACAGTAACAGCAACCTTGACAGTAACAGCAACCTCGGTAGCAACAACAGCAACCTTAACAGCAACAGCAACCTCGACAGCAGCAGAGCACAGCCCGACAGTGATTAGCAGACAGCAAANTGTATAAATAACAGCACTAACAGAAACAGGCAACTACAGATGCTGTTCCAGGTTATTTAACACATCTCGAGGAGGAGGACGAGGACGGGGGGGGGACAGGAGAGAGTGAGAAGGATGAATGAGAGAGATAGGTAGAGAAGTGAGGGCATGAGACAGGGGGAAGGGAGAGAGAGGTGAGGGGAGAGAAGAGAAGTGGGGGGGGGAGAGGGAGAGATGAGAGAAGGGGAGGGGAGGGGAGGGGGAGAGGGGAGGTGAAGTGAGGGGAGGGGAGAGAGAGGAGGGATATGAGGAGAGGGGGGAAAGTGAGGTGATGGAAGGGGGGAAGTAAAGGAAAGAGGGGGTTGAGGGGAGGTGAAGGGAGGAGAGGGGAGGGGAGAGGAGGGGAAGGAGCCAGGGTGTTAGAGTTCTCACGAGGGATCCTCACCCATTTACCACACAAACAACATTTATACCTCCCCCCCTGCTCCCCTCCCCTCCCCTCACTCCCTCTCCCCTCACTCCCTCTCCCCTCACTCCCCTTCCCCTCACAATACACGTCTTGATCCCGGCTCGCTCTCCCTTTGACGTGACGTCACGGAGACAGCTGTTACAAGTCCCCTCCCACCCCCTATCTCCCCTTCCTCACCAGCCCCCCCTTCCAAGGACGAGGTCCACATCCCCTTACCTCCCCCCAGCTCTGTGTGGGGGTGCAGGACCCCCACCCCAACCACTGTTGGTCACTGTTGGAAACATCTGGTCACTGTTGCAAACACCTGGTCACTGTTGTAAACACTTGGTCATTGTTGCAAACACCTGGTCACTGTTGCAAACACCTGGTCACTGTTGCAAACACCTGGTCATTGTTGCTCAGCTGTTGCTAACTTCTAGCTCACAAGCGAACAGACCTGGGTTCAATCCCCGGGTGAGGCAAAACATCTGGGTAAGTCTCCTTACACACCTGACTCTCTTCACCCACACACCTGCTGACCCTCTTCACCCACACACCTGCGGAACCTTTCCACCCACACACCTGCTAAACATCTTCACCCACACACCTGCTGACCCTCTTCACCCACACACCTGCGGAACCTCTTCACCCACACACCTGCTAAACCTGTTCACCCACACACCTGCTGACCCTCTTCACCCACACACCTGCGGAACCTCTTCACCCACACACCTGCATAAACCCCTTCACCTACACACCTGTGACCCTCTTCACCCACACACCTGCGGAACTCTTCACTCACACACCTGCTAAACCTCTTCACCCACACACCTGCTGACCCTCTTCACCCACACACCTGCGGAACCTCTTCACCCACACACCTGCTAAACCTCTTCACCCACACACCTGCTGACCCTCTTCACCCACACCTGCGGAACCTCTTCACTCACACACCTGCTAAACCTCTTCACCCACACACCTGGTGACTCTCTTCACTCAGCAGCCAGTAGGTACCCGGGTGAAAATCGACTGGTGTGGGTGGCATCATGGGGGAGAGAATCCACACTTCTTATCCTTCTTCTTTTCCTTCTTCGCAGATGTCATTGCATCTGTCATGTTCTCTCTTCTAACTGTTCCACAAGTGTTCTAATTATATTTCGTTCCACAGGTGTTCCCTGTAGCGTTCCACAGGTGTTCTATGTATTGTTCCACAGGTGTTCTAACTCACCTGTTGTTTCACAGGTGTTCCATGTATTGTTACACAGGTGTTCTAACTCACCTGTTGTTCCACAGGTGTTCCAAGTCATCTATTGTTCCACAAGTGTCTTATATATTGTTCCACAGGTGTTCTATGTATTGTTCCACAGGTGTTCTATGTATTGTTCCACAGGTGTTCTATGTATTGTTCCACAGGTGTTCTATGTATTGTTCCACAGGTGTTCTATGTATTGTTCCACAGGTGTTCTATGTATTGTTCCACAGGTGTTCTATGTATTGTTCCACAGGTGTTCTATGTATTGTTCCACAGGTGTTCTATGTATTGTTCCACAGGTGTTCTATGTTTGGTTCCACAGGTGTTCTATGTATTGTTCCACAGGTGTTATATGTTTGGTTCCACAGATATTCTATGTATTGTTTCACAGGTGTTCTATATATTATTCCACAGGTGTTCTAATTCATATATTGTTCCACAGGTGTGGTTCCAGAACCGGCGAGCAAAATGGCGCCGTCAGGAGAAGATGGAACAAGCGCAGCTGCGCCTTCACGAGCAGTCCATGGGCCTACTGCATAGGCCTTCCGGTCCACCGGGGCCCCTGGACCACTTCTTCCCACCTCTGCTGCCAGGCCTGCCAGGCCTACCCAGCCTACAAGGCACCATGCCTTCCATTCATGGCGGTCTGACAGCCATGGGCGGGGCTGTCTCCTCTCTACCTGGCTTTTTAACCCACCCGCACGCAGCCTACCCTTCTTATCTCACCCCGCCCACCTCCTCAGCCATGGGCGTGGGTCCGCCGAGCGCGCCCACATCTACAGCCCCGCCCGCTTTCACCACGCCTCCTCTACCCATGTCTCCGCCCCTGCCAACCCCCGTGCAGGAGCGGGCCTCCCCCCCAGCAGGGGCTGAGGACGACCTCAGGTCATCCTCCATTGTGGCACTGAGACTCAGAGCCAAGGAACACCTGGAGAGCCTCGTCAGGACCTCAGCACTCGTATGAATCCACTACTTCAGCAGCTCGTTCCACAGTCGAGTAACTCAGCCATATTCTTCGGCCGGGTTCTTCAGTTAGTCTCCGAAGGTACTCAATCCTTCAGCCAGCTCAGTCCATAGCTCTTGGCACTTCGCTAACCTGAGGTGATATAACTCCAACGCAACAGCTCTCAGACCTCTGTACTTCACACTCAGACCTTGAGAGAGTCAGTCTACCCTTGAACTTCACGCTAGAGATTGTCTTGGCTTCAATGCGGCTATCTAAACAGAAGGTGTAATCTTTTACGAATGGCTTATAGAGATCATGGTTGGCCTGTAATAGTCGTGGCTAACTTACAGAGATCATGGATGACCTGCAGTAATCGTGGCTGACTTACAGAAGTCATGGCTGACGTGCAGTAATCGTGGCTGACTTACAGAAGTCATGGATGACCCTCAGTAAGCGTGGCTAAGTTACAGAGGTCATGGCTGACCTGCAGTAATCGTGGCTAAATTACAGAGGTCATGGATGACCTGCAGTAATCGTGGCTAAGTTACAGAGGTCATGGATGACCTGCAGTAATCGTGGCTAAGTTACAGAGGTCATGGCTGACCTGCAGTAATCGTGCCTAAGTTACAGAGGTCATGGCTGACCTGCAGTAATCGCGGCTTAGTTACAGAGGTCATGGCTGACCTGCAGTAATCGCGGCTTAGTTACAGAGGTCATGGATGACCTGCAGTAATCGCGGCTTAGTTACAGAGGTCATGGATGATCTGCAGTAATCGCGGCTTAGTTACAGAGGTCATGGTGACCTGCAGTAATCGCGGCTTAGTTACAGAGGTCATGGCTGACATGCAGTAATTGTGGCTTAGTTACAGAGGTCATGGATGACCTGCAGTAATCGCGGCTTAGTTACAGAGGTCATGGATGATCTGCAGTAATCGCGGCTTAGTTACAGAGGTCATGGATGACCTGCAGTAATCGCGGCTTAGTTACAGAGGTCATGGCTGACCATGCAGTAATTGTGGCTTAGTTACAGAGGTCATGGATGACCTGCAGTAGTCGTGGCTGATCTAGAGTGGATCTGTCTGAATACTAGAGCGTCTTATCAGTAACGACAAAGTGATGCTAGCAGTGACGAGTAAGACGCAACATCAACGCCACGATCTCAGCAACATCAACGCCACGATCTCAGCAACATCAACGCCACGATCTCAGCAACATCAACGCCACGATCTCAGCAACATCCTCCCAGCGCACTTTGTTCTCATTACAAGTGTCAACAAACATTACTTCCGTAAAATCGAATGCTTCTCTATTTTAAAACACTGACGTAAAAAAAGAACATAGAACACAATAATAGAAGAACAATGAGGAAAAAAAACACTGTTGAACTGATAGCCAGACGTAGGGTATTTCCTCCCCCGTTACGTTACAAGGGGAGAGTGAACTAGCAAGTGTCGTTACGGTTTAATGACCTCGTTAGGTAGTGTTCCAAGTGTGCATGATGACTGATGGATGAACCTTGGAAGTGACTCTTCACTTGATGGCTTCGTCAACAATGTTGACCTCACTGTTAAGAGGTGAAACAGTGGCTAGTGTCGCCACTACTCCTTATTCTCTCTTTCTCTGTTCCTCTCTTCTTTGCCCACACTGCTTATCGCTCCTTGCTTCACATTCAGTATTATTATTTTAGTGATTCCTATTTTTATGGTGTCTAGCTCAGTGGTGCCTCACCTCTCTCTTTCTCTTTCTCTGTCTGTCTGTCTGTCTATATGTCTGTCTGTCTGTATGTCTGTCTGTCTGTATGTCTGTCTGTCTGTCTGTCTGTCTGTCTCTCTCTCTCTCTCTCTCTCTCTCTCTCTCTCTCTCTCTCTCTCTCTCTCTCTGCAAATATCTAGCACGACCAAAACAAGTGTACGTTTGGGCTAATCTGTATATATATATATCTATAGAATGAACATGTAAATATTGACTGTAGATATAGATAATCCCCTCCCATTGGTTGCCATGGTTACCTCTTGACAGTAACGTTCCTGTGTAGTCCGTTATTACGCGCACACACACACACACGCCACACACACACAACACACACACACACACACACACACACACACAATAAATTTATATATATATATTATATATATATATATGATATATATATATATATTTAATATATAATATATATATTTATATATATATATATATATATATATATATATATTATAAAATATATATATATATATTATATTATATATATAACGAATTTCAGGCTTATTGCTTTAATTGATAAAGTAATTATCTCCAAAATTATCTTGGATTCCATTTTCTGAGACCAGAGAACAATTAGTTCAATTTCTTTAAAGATAATTGGCTCCTTTTTCATGTTCTTCGAAGAATAAGCCGGAAATCCGTTTTCTATGCAAATAAAACTTTAAAGGAAACAGGAAAATATCCCTTATTGACCCTGACAATGAAGGTGATATTAGCGTGGCCAGTGTGAGGCATTATGCGAGGGGGGACTTTAACTTAGTTATGTACAGTGTCAAGGCTTCTTATGTTAGTGCATGTGTCAGACATGTGTCAGTCATGTGTCAGTCATATGTCTGGCACTGTGTAACACCAGGGTTAGTCATATGTCTAGCACTGTATCACCAAGGTCAGTCATTTGTCTGGCACTGTGCCTGCACTGTGTATGACACTGTCTGGCACTGTAACTGGCACTGTAACCGGAACTGCCTGGCACTGTACTTGGCACTGTGTTTGGCACTGTACCTGGCACTGTGTCTGCCACTGCACCTGTCACTATGTCTGGCACTGTTTGGCACTGTGTCTGGCACTTTACCTGGCACTGTACCTGGCACTGTACCTGGAACTGTGAATGACACTGTGGCACTGTACCTGGCAGTGTGTCTGGCACTGTACCTGGCACTGTGTCTGGCACTGTACCTGGCACTGTGTCTGGCACTGTACCTGGCACTGTGCCTTGCACTGTACCTGGCACTGCACCTGGCACTGTGCCTGGAACTGTACTTGGCAGTGTGGCACTGTACCTGGCACTGTGTCTGGCACTGTGTCTGGCACTGTACCCGTCACTGTACCTGGCACTGTGACACTGTCTGGCACTGTACCTGGCACTGTGCCTGGCACTGTACCTGGCACTGTGTCTGGCACTGGCACTGTACCTGGCACTGTGTCTGGCACTGTACCTGGCACTGTGCCTGGCACTGCCTGGCACTGTACCTGGCACTGTGCCTGGCACTGTCTGGCACTGTACCTGGCACTGTGCCTGGCATCAGGGTGACCCTATAG